TACTGTTACCACAGAATTGATTTATCACTTCCCTCCTGAATGTGAAACTGCCAACTAGCTAGTGTTCTGGCCCCACGTGGTGCCTCATGTCCCTCTCTTGCTCCTTGATAAACCTATGAAAATGCAAATCTAATCATCTTGCTCCTTTGCTTAACATTCTTTCAGGGCTCTCCATTGTCTTCACAACCAAGTCCAAGCTCCTTTAAATGGCAATCCAGGTTCTTCAGGGAGAGGTCCCTGCCCCCACCTTTCTCCATACACCCTCACCCCTTCAGTGTGTGTATGTGTATGTGTATGTGTGCGGTGGGCACATGCGCGCGCGCGCAAACACACACACACAAACACACACACACAGTTTTTCAGCCAGATCACCTGGAGGTGATCTCTCAATGAACCACCAACTTCAATGGCTCCATATGCTCTTATGCTCTTTGTTCCATCTAAAAGGGCTTTTCACTTGGTTCCACTGCACTTGTCAAGATTTTACACAAAGAGAAAATTAAACTTTAAATAAATTACCTAGATAGAAATGCACTTTCTCTTCTCCCCTCCCACTGAATTTAGTATATTTCTCTATAAATTTTAAGTCTCATCACATTGCTATAATCAATTTCTCCATTAAACTCTGATTCTGCTTTTCCCTCACTGGACTGTAGGTTCCTCAAAGCCATATACTATGTCCCAATTATTTTTGTATTCTCAGTAATCGTGACTGCTTCTGGTGCATAGTAATTGTTCAATAAATATTTGAGGAATGAATGAATGGAAAAGCAACGGATGAATGAATGAGAGACAGTACAACACAATTAGGTATAATTTGGGGGCCAAACATACCCAGGTTTGAGACCCAGCTCTGCCAAGTGACTTTGGGTAAGTCACTTAACCCCTTTAAATCTCAGTCCCTTAATCTGTAAAATGTATAAAATTGGGGAAATTGTGCTCCCTAACTCATAGAGGAATGGTAAAGACTAAAAGAAATAATGCATATAAAGCTCCTGACACTATCCTGGTATGTGGAAAGTGTTAAGTGTTGTTATTTCTTTATTATGAATGGGAATAACTTAGCCCAGTGACAAATATATTACAGACATGCAGATTGAACAAAAATTATGGAAGAGGGAGGGAAGGTTTCTGGAAGAAGAGGAACTCAAAACTTTCTTTGGGAAAAGAAAGGAAGCTAAGTTGGAGAAGAGATGAAATCTGGAAAGGTCATCTGAAGCTTTGCAGTTTATTACCCAATATCACCGTTTGAAGCCATTCGTTTTTTAAGTAGCCCATTGGAAATGACATTGGGTTGAGACATTGCTTTTATCGTCCAAATATTCAAGGTTGTCCTTTGGTGGCAAACCAATCCAAAGAGGAACAGCTCTGAATTTTGGTATAAATAATATTTCTCTCTCTAAATAGTCTGATATTAAGCATTCCAGACAACTTGATCTTTATGAGAACCAAATAGAGATATGCAACATTTTATTCCTGTATTTTCACAATATTTTTATACATATTATGATTAAACCTTCCAGAGTCATTGGATCATGTTTTGCTGACCTAATTGCCAAAACGGTTGCAAGTTATTTGTGAGTAAAATTATGCCAAATGTCTTCAACCATTTTATATCTCCAAGCTGTTTACAAGGATAAGAATATTTATAGCCATCTTCTAGTCTAAACACATTATAAACCTAAGTCTTGCAAAGTTAATAACAATGACACCAGCTAAAGAATGAGCAACAAAACTTCAGTTTCATTATTTCCATTTCTTTCCTCTAATCTATGAGTCAACAACATTATTTTGTATTAAGTATACATTTATTTTCTTCTTTTCACTCATCTGTCTCTTTCTCACAATGGTCACGCCTATTCATGCTCCAAGAATTTTCATGGCGAAATGTCTTCAACTACATCCTACTGAGAATGGATGTGCCTGGCTTAGGCATGGATCAAATTTGAGTTCGTGAATGTAAGAATGCAATTAATGGACATTATTGTATATTAGAACAATGTTTCCTGGCACATTTGCAGGTAATATATTTTTTAAATGGCTTTCCCTTAAAACACACACATATATACACATTTCAAGAACTAGTCAGTTCTCTTCTTCATGAATATTTTTCCCCTAAATAATGGACATCCTTTTCCATGTTTCATTTTCTGTTAGGTGTCTCTTGATAACAGGATGCTTAAGATTATAGGGACACTACGCTGACTAAAGGACCTACCCCCAATCCAAATTATCACAGTCCATTCCCCAGCCTATATTCACCAGGATAGAGGGAGTCTCACTTAAAGAAGGTCAGCTACATTATGCTCTGTAAATATCACTCTGTAAATATCACTCTGTGACAGTACATAATCTGGGGCAAACAAGTTGCTTCTTAACCCATATTTTAGCTCTCAAATCATATCTCTCACTACCAGAGTCTATATTCAATGAGTCAGTAAAACAACCAGAAAAATGAGAGAAAAAAATCTCAGTGAAAATAGGTATTCTGCATTGTGAATGAAAGTAACAAATACTGATGGTTTGATTAAATTTTCAGCTTTCCGGAAATTTTTGTGTCACAGAATTACAAATTCTTTGACTTTTAGTTATCCTCAAGAGTGAATAATTAGAGTATATTTGAGAGAGAATATAAATAAGAGAATAAATGAGAGTATTTAAAAACCATGAATAATCCCAAATTATTTTAATTTAGGTCTAGACATACACAAATCCCCGCCCACTCATATTTGCTGATTCGCCCTTACCACAACTCTCTCTTCTTCTAGCCCAATATTCTTTCCTTGGGCATTCTTTACATGACCATGGTTTTTGCTCCTATGCCCTCCCCTGGATGAACTCAACATTCCCTAGGCACAAACAGAATTCTAGTATCCCTTTTCTGTCCCACCAGCACCTCCTTAAAATTCTCTGCCAAACTAGACATTAAATGGGCAATGGGAAGATGCAAGTACTTAATATTCTGTAACTTAAATAAACAAATTGTATTTAATTCAGAATTTTTATATGAATATTTTCCAGACCCAGAAACCTTTATTAGCATGCTTTCATTTGATAGTTCAGAAAACTGAAGCTCAGTAAGATGTTAAATGGTCACCAAAGAAGTGCCTCACATCAGCATCTAGTAATAATTTAGAAATACTGAATAAATAGTACTTCCCTAAACATTAATAATGGTGGGTTGACAAAAGTAGCCTGAAATAGGAGCTATCTTCCAAGATCAATGAACAATCTATTTCCCTAAGGTGTTTGGAAACATGCAAATCTAGTTAATCCTATATGCAATTTTAAATGAACAGTAATAAATAAGACTTGCAGTTAAAATGGAGTATTTACTATATGCCAAGCTCAGTTGTAAATGTTTTTTGTTTATTACTTTAACTTCATAACACACCTGAGTGGTAGTTATTATTATCTCCCCACTTTCACACAAGTGGAACTGAGGCACAGAGGGTTAGGTTGCCCCAGGTCACAAAGTCCCAGGTAAGGCAGTCTGCTTCAGAGTTCACACTCTTATCCACCATAATATGGTGTGTGTGGCATCAATGGGTGACTTTCATTCTCTTAATGTACAGATGCCAAAAAGAATATCTAACCCAAGGGTCAGACAGTGACTGTCACATGGTGTCTCTACTAAAAAAGAGAACGGATCACATCACTATCAGAAAAGTAATCTAAGAACAAGATAGATACATGTAAGACTATATAGCTAAGGAAGCCTCCAGAAATAGCTGCAAATAGATTACCAGCTAAGAAACCACTGGGATTTCCCTCTTCAAGCAAAGGTGTCAGGCAGACAGTAAGCCTAAGAGACAGAAAACCAAGTGTCATTGGCCTCTGCAAACAGCAACTGTGGGCAAAAATACTGAGAGACGTGTCAGTGTCTTCAGGCACCTCCATGCTCCCTGTCAACATGTACATGAGGAGTAATGTACCCACACAAGGCTATCCAGGCACACGTTATGTTCCCGTGTGTGTTGTCAGGAGATTGGATGATTATTTCTAGAAATTCAACCTGGATTAATATCTGAAACATCAAATAGATAATTAGGATTCTATATTTATTTTTATCAGAATTAAGTAAATATTATCAAAGCTAAGTATTAGGGGGAAAAAATTATCCCGGAAAGTGAAGTTTAGTGAATACGTGAATAAACTGCCAAACCAATCAAGAGTGAGTCATTTAGCATTGTGATTAGTTTCAACAAAATATGTGTAAACCAAGCTCTAATTCTTTAACTTGGTGACTGTTCTTTTCTATTTCATATATTAGTTTATTCATTCTTTACTCTGTTCCATACTAGCTAGCAAAGAGAGTCAGACACTCAGAAAACAGAGGGTGCTCCAAGCTTCCACAAGAAGGATCAAGATACCAGCATACATCAGCTTTTAGAGAAGAAGACCTGATAAAAAGCTGGTACTTCCTTGTTCTCTGGGAAGATGAAGGCACATTTCTTGAACCAATAAGTACACTTGTGGTGTCTAAGAAAAGGTCTGCCCCATTTAAGAAAGGGTCAGAAGATTTCACTTTCCACAGTTATCAACATGGTAAAGAGGAATATACAGAAATTGTTAAAATCGTATCTATTATGTGGTTATTTTGAAAACCACTTATTAGAATATGAATGAATCCTTGCATTTAAAGGATAGAAAACAGAAAACCAGATGAGGGATCACCCACAAAATATCTGTCCCTGTTGATACAGCATCAAGCAAAAAGAAGCATGACCAGACACTGATGCAGATCACTCACGGTTTGCACTCTGCCACAGCTCCCCAGCCACAGCTGGGTTGCACATGCAGGCAAGTCTTTTTTCTGTGACCCAGCTGTGAGGAGCCTAAGAAATTTTATTGCAGGAGATGCCCCAGATAGTTAGATTAGGTTATTCTGGCTTTTTCAGAAATTCTAAAAAAGAAAACATTTTGTCTTTGCCTTCCCAGATCTCTCCCATCACTAAGCCCATGACTTTCTCAATACCCAGTGAACTCCTATTGCTTACTTGGGATAATTTCTAGATTGAATGAAGGGCAGAATCTCAGAGTCTTGACTAGATGGAGGAAGTAGTAAATCTCGAAATCGTTCTGTCAAAAGAAAAATAAACATCAAGCTGTGAAAAAATGTCATAAAATAATTTCAAAATAAAATTATTTCATATTCTTTTAACTTAACTATTTTGACTGCACATCCTTTATTAGAAATTTACACACCATTTTATATACTACTAAAATATGTCTTTATTTCACTTTAATGACTATATATCTTTTTGTGATTAAGATGTCACAACAGCTGCATATTTAAAATGGCAAGTATTCATTAATATAGACTCATGAAATCTTATAATTGAAATGTCAGAGGAAGCACATATGACCAATAAATATACCAAGAGATACACAATCTCATTAGTAACCTGGGAGGTGTGAGTTAACACCACACGTCATTAGACAGCATTCACATTATGTGGTATTCAATTGAGAGAAATTAATCTCACAAGACCAAGTGTTAGAGAGGATGTGTATCAACATGAGCTCTTACACATTTCTAGTGGGAGTGCAAGTTGATATAATAGCTTTGGAATGCAATTTGGCGTTATCTTGTAAGTTTAACCTTTGCATACCCTGTGAGCCAATATTTCCATTCACAGGTATATACTCTGCGGAAACTTTCACATATGTCTTAGGCAGCAAGTAAAAGGATGTTCATAGCAGCACTGTTCATAACAAAATAAAGGGAAACAACTCCATTGCCCAACAACAGGAGAATGGACAATTTGTGGTATATTCACACAATGGAATATTAATTGAAGTGAAATTGAATGAACTCAGTTACAAATAAAAACATAGTGAATCAGATTAGCATGATGTTGAGTGGAAAAGAAACCCAGCATATTACATACAAAAGAATATCATTTTTTGTTGAGTTAAAAAAACAACTAAGCAATGTATTATTTAGGTATGTTATATATGAGACAAAGCAAACCAATGGAAAAAAATGATCTACATAATTCAGGATAATGGTTACCTTTTAGGAGGCGGAAAGGGATAAAATAAACGAAAAGCAAAAAGGTAGTTGTAAGTAATTGTTACTATTTCGTATGTGTTAATTACAGCATCACAAAATGAGTGAATGAATGAATGAATGAATGATGGCCAGGAATTGTCCGATGATGACAGTAGGCCATGAAACAAGAATTTGATTAATAAAATTCTGTGCTTATGAATTCATAATGAAGGAAAAAAGGAGGAAGTGAGAAAGAGAGGGAGAGAAAGAGACAGGGAGGGAGGGAGAAAGAAAATGAAAAAGAAGTGTGGAGGAAGGAAGAATCCTCAATTCTACTTTAGACATAGTTATACTGCATAGCCATCTGCATTGCATAGAATAATCTATCACTCTAATATTGATCCCACATTTCCAGGACTAGATATTCATTATCTCTAGAGTCATCTCTATGGGGAGCCTTCCTTGATCCCTCCTTTTCCTTTCCTCTTTTCCTGCCAAATCTGGAATAGAAGGCCCACTGTGTAATCCTAGCATACTCTGTGCTTACACTCTCACAGAATTTATCACACTACATTTTTATTGTTATATATATTTGTCTCTCCATCCCTCCCTCTCCTTCCAGTAGATGGGTATTGTGCCACCAGGATACAGAACATTAACTGAAACATTTTGAGGTACTAGATAAATATTAGTTAAAAGAATATTTCCAATTTCCATTTTAACTAGATACAGAAGACTGTTTGCTAAGGTTAATCATAATGCCTATTAGAAAACTGGTCATCTATCAGCCATGAAAAGCAAGCAGACCTGGACTCCAGCCTAGACAGAGTCACAGCCTCAGGCTGAGACAGAGTGCAAAGCTGAAACTGCAAGCTGCAGTCAATCCATCACTAACCGAAGGTGAGCAATTTCCACATAATCTACACTTGATGACAATCGCCATTTCCCAGTTACTGAATAGCTAGATGTTAAACATTTGTGAGCACAGTGGTTACAAAGTCTGGCTAAGCAACAGGATGTGGATTGTATCTTCATATCTATTAAAACATTGAATCGGATATTTTACCGACCTCTACTTTGCTTTTTTTTCCACCACTCTGACAGTTCTTATAACACACGTGGGGAGGAACTAAGAAGACCCCCAAACAGAGGTGGCTATACTCCAGAGTCCACAGATCCAAGAAAGCACAATTTATTTTTCTCCTTTAAGTACACTTACTCTTTAATTTGATTTCATATTTTTAAAAATTAAATTATATTATTGACTGATATACTATTATTTTTAGGTAACAAAATGAATGTTTATTTCAGTGAAACGACTAGTAAATTTTTCTGATGATACGACTCTTGTTTTTCAGTCTACTTCCCAATTTACATAGGCCCATTAAATAATTTACTGTGTTTCTCCTTTTCCTTTTTTTCCCTCCATTTATCCCTTTCCTAAAATGAGTCTTGAAAAATAAAGTCAAAATCCCATAGCAAACACAAACTTTATACATCAATAAAGAACTACTCTATCAAATAGCTATATTGAATATGATATATCCTTGGGTGCTAAAAATATAAATGAAAGTTTTACTGAATGATTCCCAAACTAATTTAAATGCAAAGAAAAATCAGAATTCTTAATGTAAACAACCATAATATAATACAGCTATAGGTTTTTCCCTGTTTATATAATCACAAAGAACATTTAATTGTAAATCTGGAAGAAAATCTCTGGAGATGATATTATATCGGTAGAACATAAAAAAACAAAACAAAAAACACACCACCACACAGACACAGAGCAGAAGTAGCATATAAAAGATCACTTACAAAGCTACCCAAGCTATGAAATCTATCATTAATATTCCTACATTTGGAGCATCCTTTCATCTGAACATCATAAATGCAAGGAATACCAAGCAAACACGAAGATCCTTGAGTAGCTATCATGACTGTCAAAATAAAAAGTTCACATATACACAAACAGAAAATATACACAGTACCTTAAAATTGCCTTTTTAAAAATTTCTATCTTTATCAATATATTCATAAACTCCCAATGTGAACAATTAACTTTATCCCAATAAGGTATAATGATTAATTTTTCTTTATGAGAACAAAAATAAATGATAAAAATTATCCTTAGAAAAATCCAGGGGCCGGCCCGGTGGCGCAAGCAGTTAAGCGTGCGTGCTCTGCTGCGGCAGCCCCGGGGTTCGCCGGTTCGGATCCCGGGCACGTACCCACACACCGCTTAAGCCGTGTTGTGGCGGGGTCCCATATAAAGTAGAAGAAGATGGGCACGGATGTTAGCCCAGGGCCAGTCTTCCTCAGCAAAAAAGAGGAAGACTGGCATTGGATGTTAGCTCAGGGCTGGGCTTCCTCACCAAAAAAAAAAAAAAAAATCCAAGGAAATGAAAAATTATTTATAATTCTTACATTAGTCCTTCTTTAGTCTGCATATTTCTGCCTATCAACTATTTAATTAGCATCCCATTCTTTATCTGACCCTGGGAGTAAGATCAAAATAAATTGATGTTTCCTTTGTTAAGTAGCAAAAAATTTAACATAATACTTTTTCTCTTCCAGCAAAATGTCACACCGGATGATCTGCTTTCTTAGTAGGCCCAATGTCTATTTCTTAAGAAAATGGCAGTTATCCAAATACTAGAGCTCAGTCCTTTTAGACTGCTTCTTAGAAGATTTTCATTAAAGCTACTAAAATGAATGAGAAGATTTTCTACAAAGTGATATTTTGATGAGCTGACTAATTATATGAAAATGTCTGAACATGATTTTCTACCAGTGGCGGACAAATCTTAATTAACACAGGCTTTTGTAGACTTTTACCCACTCTTCCTTTCTCCCATTCAATCAACAAAAAGATTCTGAGGCCACCAGACCTGGAAGACATACTGCACACAATTATATTAATTTGGGCTCTTTGAATAATCAATTGTGAGACACTATACTTAATTATTTAAAAACAAAGATGAGAAAAATGAAATACTCTTTCCAATTCTAATTCAAACTTTTCTGTACATTTACTGCGACTCAAGTTCTTTATTTTCCCTTTTGTGGAAAATGGCCAATCTGTAATCCTCCCAAGATGCAGAATGTAGCAAATGCAATGAGGATTTGAATAACAACAAAAAACCACTATGCAAATATATTCCTGGCATGATAAGAAAATGAAATATTCTGCCTACCACTGTACAAAAAAGGAAAAAAGAAAAAAATTAAAGACAGAAAAGAAAATAAAAATATGATGCTGATTATGCCATTCTTTTATGACCTTAAAGTCCTTTCCATCTAGAGACATGATCACAGCCACCTAATTAGTGCCTTCAACAAGAACATAAGAAACAGCTGTTGTTTGCTGGAGGGACTCTGCCCAGGTTTATGAATTCCAAGTCATTGTTTCCTTCCAGGTAATCCTCCTTCCTTCCCTTTGCCTCTCCATAATTCCACTTTGGAAATAAATATTTTAACTACTTTGAGTATTAGATTATCATAGGCAAGGAAAGAAAATCAAATAAAACATCTCTAAAGGGTGACAATATTTCTCTAAAAAAACCTAGAAAGAAGTTCTTGACATTTTTATTAATAGACACAAACTTTCTCATCTTTCTCTTAATGCTCATGTTATACTCAATTTGCCAGTTTAAAATTTTTTTCCCAAAAGGACTGAAACAACATCCTTAAGGGACATTAAACAGACCCATTGAAGACTTAACCTCAGTTTTAAACATAACTACTATAATGTAACATAGTATTGGGAGTTACAGAATAAATGTTGCAAGGAAATAGACACTACCCCCACACTCTAACTTAGTTTTAAAACAAAATTAGTAAATGATTACACTATAATATTTACATAATTTTACAAGAAAAACTGAGGATTATCTCATAACACAGGCAGTCTTGTAAGTGAGTATACATGATGAAGGGTACACCGAAGACCAAATCTTTCTTTACTTGTAGAGTTTGCAGTACTGAGAAGAACAGGTTATAATAGAAAAGACAATAAATTGGTTGTCAAAAAGTCTGAGTCCTTCACTTACTTCTCCCTCTGTTCTTAATTTCTTTTCTCAAT